CCCCCCCAGACCACTACCTTCCAATCTCATCCCAGTTCTCCCAACAATCCTCTACCCCGGTCCCTTCCACGAAAACGAGGATCCTTCAATAGTCTTCAAAACGTCTTGAAAAGAGCTTTCAAGACCAGGCTTCGAGTCTAAAAAGATGAAGAACGACCATATCACTCCTATTTTAAGTAAACCCCATTGGCTACCTACAAAATCTAGAATTACGAGAAAGATTGCTCTCCTTTGCCACAATTGTGTTAACAATGAAGCTCTCCTCATATTCAAGTAACCTCACTCAAATGCTCCAACAAGATCTTTAAGATCAGGAGATCAGTCTTTTACAAGAATACCTTGATAGTCAGTCCTTCTTATTCATAGTACGCTTATGCTCATAATGTGATGTGCATTCATAATCCATTTTGCTGTGACTGTATGAGTGTTTGCTTTTGTGTTGGTGTTAACCAGTTAACTATCAATTCTACCTATTATTTTTCCTGTGAGAGCAAAGTGTTCGAGGCATTTGTGTAGGCCTTTCTACCTGTTCAAACGATACATTCACCTTTCCTTTAGATGTTTAGCAGGGGGCTCTCGAGGTCTAGAGGTTAAGGAGTTCGCCTCTTATTCAATAGGTCCCGGGTTCGAATCCGGACATCGACGGAAAATATTCATCTCTAGCATTTTCTCCTGTCACATAATTTCCTACTCTTTAACAATGTTCTGCCCTCTGCTTTCGTCTCAACTTTCTGCCCCCACCCCCTCATCTCCTTTGCCCCACCTCTGGGCTCCTGACTCTTTCTGTAGCCTTTCTACAGCCTTTCGACAGCCTTTCTGCTGCTACTCCTTGGCTCCTCCTTACTTTTGTCTTTCAGTCTCATCCGTGATCTTATGGTAGGAAGATGTACATCTAGCCTTCTCGGACATAAGGGTCGAAAATCGTGGAGGTCACGTGTACAAGTTGCGCACGTTAAAGATCCATTGGTAGTAAAAATGGCTAAGAGTAGGCTTCTGCCGCCACCCGGGCAAAATTCAAAATTCGCTACCAACTGAAAATGTTTTGTGTGTCTCACGCGTACATATAAATATAACCTCATGCAGCGCGAGTGCCGTAAAACACTGACCACAAAAAGTTTAATAAAAGGATGTTTAGACAATACATTCACAACCATCGTTCTTTTAGGTTCTCAAACAATCTATTCGTCTTTATTTTAGATACTCAAACAATACATCCAAATGTCTTTTGAACATATCATGTACAATCAACATCTCCAGATGTCATCTACTGATCAAACAATAATATCTTCATCTTTCTGATTGGATGCTGTATTCCCCTGATCCCAGGTTTATTTTGACAAAAGAGACCACAGAGTCTGCTTCCAAAGTGTTTAAACTTTGACGTTTCAGGCCGTGAAAAGTTACTACTAGTAGTTGAAGTGACAGCAGTAGCAGTGGCAGCTGCTGTTGTGACACGTCGGTTCATCGTTAGCTCCATTGGCGCCATTCTGGGATGCGATGCAGACGGTCCTGATTCGAATCATCTTCTAAGCGTCCTTGAATTTTTGTTTCCAACCTTGCCTTA